GAAAAAAAAAAGATCTTTGTTTAATCTCTTCCCACTCCCACCCCCTTCCCTCTGAGAATCATCAGTCTGTTCCATTTCCATGCCTCTGATTCTATTTTATTCACCAGTTTATTCTGTTTATTAGATTTCTTATTCATTTACTTAGATTTTTAGATTCAATTGTTGATAGGTATGTGTTTGTTGACATTTTGTTTTTCATATATTTTTTAACATATTTTTATTGATTTCAGAGAGGAAGGGAGAGGGAGAGGGAGAGAGAAACATCAATGATGAGAGAGAATCATCGATTGGCTGCCTCCTGCAAGCTCCCTACTGAGCATTGAGCCTGAAACCTGGGCATGTGCCCTTGACTGGAATTGAACCCGGGACCCTTCAGTCTGCAGGCTAACGCTCTATTCACTGAGCCAAACTGGCTAGGGCTTGTTGTTCATATTTCTTAAAATCTTTTTCTTTTTCTTATTCTTCCTCTTTTTAAGGATACCCTTCAACATTTCATATAATACTGGCTTGGTGGTGGTGAATTCCTTTAGCTTTTTCTTGTCTGTGAAACTCTTTATATGACCTTCAATTCTAAATGAGAGCTTGCTGGGTAGAGTGACCTTGGTTGTAGGTCCTTGCTATTCATCACTTTGAATATTTCTTGCCACTTCCTTCTGGCCTGCATAGTTTCTGTTGAGAAATCAGCTGACAGTCGTATGGGTACTCTCTAGTAGGTAACTAACTGCTTTTTTCTTGCTGCTTTTAAGATTCTCTCTTTGTCTTTAGCCCTTGGCATTTTAATTATGTGTCTTGGTGTGTTCCACTTTGGGTTCCTCTTGTTTGGAACTCTCTGTGCTTCCTGGACTTGTAAGTCTATTTCTTTCACCAGGTAGGGGAATTTTTGTCATTATTTCTTCAAATAGGTTTTCAAGATCTTGCTCTCTCTCTTCTTCTTCTGGAACTCCCATAATGCAAATGTTGGTACGCTTGAAGTTGCCCCAGAGGCTCCTTACACTATCTTCATATTTTTGGATTCTTTTTTCTTTTTTCTTTTCCAGTCTGGTGTTTGGATTCTTTTTTCTTTTTTCTCTTCTATTTGGGTGTTTTTTGCTTCCTCATATTCAAATTGTTGATTTGATTCTCAGAATCCTCTACTCTACTTTGAATCCCTGTATATTATTCTTTATTTAAGTCAGTGTGTGCTTAATTTCTGACTGGTCCTTTTCCATTTTGGGGGAGGTTTCTAGAAGTTTCTTGAGTAATATTATTATCGTGGTTTTGAACTCTATCAGTAGTTTGCTTTCTTCTATTTCTTTAATTTGTGACATGTTTCTTTGTCTCCACATTTTGGCTGCTTCCCTGTGTTTGTTTCTATGTATTGGGTAGAGCTGCTGTTTTCTAGAGTTGGTTGAGTGGCTTTGTGTAGTAGGTATTCTATAGGGCCCAGTGGCTCAGTCTCCACAGTCACCTGAGCTGGGAGCTCTAAGTGCATCCCTTTGTGGGCTGTGAGCAGTCTTGTTGTAGTTGAGATTTGATTGCTGTTGGTGTTGTAGGGAGGAATTGACCTCCAGCCAATTGGCTATGAGGACCAGGTGTGACTACAGTGGGAGAGCTGCTGTGCAGGAGACACCCCTATGGAGCAGAACTTGGTTCAGTGGGGCTTTGGTGCTCACTGAGTCTGCCCCTTGAGTGTGTCGCTTATGGATGTGTAGAATTGTAATCTGGTATGGTCTGACACTGACCACTGGGTATACTGGCTCTTGGGTATCTAAGGAGGTGTAAAGCCAGCCACTGCCTGGGGCCACCCAGCAGTAGCTACAGAGAGATCTTCAGATTCCTCTTCTTTGTTTTGTGTTTAGAAGGGCCGAGATGAGGCCCAGCTATGAAGCAAGGCAGGCTGGTGCTGGTGCCAGCCTTGGGCTTTTTATTGATAGGTTTGTGGCTCCCTGACCCAGCTTCAGCTTGTTTGACAGGTCTTAGGCTGAGAAAGGACAGGCCATTCATATGCTAAAGCCACTGCACACAGCTTGGGTGGGGTTGTAAATTGGGTGGTGTGAGGTCTCAGGGAATCTCCAGGGCGGAGCAAACAGAAATGTCTGCCAGTCAGCCTTGCACCAGGAAGGTCCCAGCATGGGAACAATGACTGCTGTGAGCACCTCTCTCTGGGGGCCTTTTATTGATAGGTTTGGGGCTCCCTGACCCAGCTACAACTGAGCAAGGACAGGCCATTCATATGCAAAAGCTGCTGCACACAGCTTGGGTGGGGTTGTAAATTGGATGAGGTGAGGGTCTTAGGGAAGCACCAGGGCAGAGCAAACAGAAATGGCTGCCAGTCAGCCCTGCAACTGGGGAGGTCCCAGCATAGGAACAATGCTCTCCCTGCAGGCACCTCCATCTGGGAGAAAGCCGCCTCTGAGTTCCTGCCCCAATGCTAGACAATCCAGTTCCTCCTTGTACATGTCTGTGTTCCCCAAAGCCTTGCTCTGGTGCTGGAGCTCAGAGGAAGTGGGACCTTGTAAGTTCAGTTTTTGGTGCTGGCCTCTTCAGGGGAAAAGCTGGGTCTCCAGCAGCCTCTCTGTCACTGAGCCCCAGTCCACACTGGTTTTCATAGCCTGTAGTTCTTACTGCCCATAGGGACTTCTTTTCCCTGCTCTGGGACCCTGGGCTGGGACCCCTTGCTCCTCTGGGCGGCCTCTGCAGAGATGATCTCCATCCCGATTAAAAACGGTACATGTGGGTGCCAGACCATCCCATTCTGTGCCTCTGCACCTCCTACCAGTCTCAATGTGAGTTCTTTAGTTCTCTAGTTGTAGGACTTCCATTCAGCCAGCTTTCTAGTGGTTCTGGATGATGGTTGTTCTGTATTTTAGTTGTAATTTTGATGTGGTTGTGAGAGGTGATGAGTACAGGTGTTTACCTATGCCGCTATCTTGTTGTCTTAATTTTTCTTCTTATCCATTCATTCTTTTTCTCCCTCTTCTATACTAACCTGTGGTCCTTCTCCTATTCATTCAATTTCTTAACCTTATTTTCTGTATTTAAGCTCTACAGATTCTCTCCCGCTCCCTTTTTTTGGTGTCTTTTGTTTGCACTTTTTAGTTTAATTGTTTGTTTTGTTGTGTTTTCTTCCCATATTTTTTATTTTATTTTCTTGTTATATTTTCTCTCTATCATTTTTGCTCTTTTCTCTTTCCAAATTCTCTGCATAACCAGACACCCTAGGAGGAGACTGCATCTATGAATGAGACAATAACATTCAAGACCCAACTACATCAAGAGAACCCAAATATCTCAAGTAGGGTGCATCCCTAGAATACCCAACCCAGAAGACCTGAGACACTATACCACTGGGTTCCACAAAACATCTACTACATAAGACAAATCCAAAAAATCTCAGTGGCATAGCAGTTTGAGCTAATACATAGGAACAATCACAAAGGAATAGCAAAAATAGGGAGACAACCCCACATGAAAGAAAAGGAGGAATAACCAGAAAAGGAAATAAATGAAATGGAGGCAAGCAATTAGAGAAAAAATTGAGAGTAATGGTTATATGGATGCTCAAAAGGCTGGATGAGAAATTCACCATATGAGGAAATGAAGAATGACAAAGCTGCAATAAAGAACACAACGGAAGGTTTCAACACTAGACTAGAAGCAGCTGAGGACTGAATCAGCGAGTTAGAAGACAAGGTAGAATAAGACACTCAAGCAGAGCAGCAACTGGAAAACAAACTTA